AGCTGAGAGGTCCTGAGAAGGTAGATACTCACTCCCCGACTGGTCATCATCACTCACTACCACTTGTTTTCTTGTTTTCAGTTTTGGTCGGGAAGTGAGTTTTGTTTGTTTCCCTTTTCCTCTCCGGGAGGATTCACCTCGTCCGGGTTGTTTTGCACCTCGACCTCTTAGTTTAACCATTTCCTGCAAACAAGCATGTCTAACTTTGTTAGTTGAAGCACTGGCAGTGTATAAGTTGATGAAAATAATTGCACAATATCAGGGTGAAAAGTTGCAGAACATGGTGCAGAACAGGCCACCGCGGACCGTGCAATTTAGGGACGCGGCCGCATGGAAGGCACCGCGGGCCGCACTGAACAAACCTCAGTAATAACACCTCTCTGAATCTCACCAACGCGGCCCGCGAAAAATGGGAGCGCGGCTGCGTTGAACCAGCGCGGACCGCACAATTAGGAACGCGGCCGCGCTGGAGAAAGTTAGCTTTACAAGTAATGGGCCACCGCGGACCGCGAGAAAATGACCGCGGCCCGCGCTGAGGCAAAGACAGGAACTGAGTTAGGGTTTTACAAATTAGTCCATTTTTGTTCAAGTTCGTGAATCCTAGTTGTCCCTACTCAATTACCCTACATGGAATTCATACCCAGCATCCAATAACAACATTTAAACTAACCTAATAATTGAATTCAAGAAAAAACGAAAGAACAAGAAGTTACACTACTGGGAGATAGTAAAAAAATGAAAAATAAACACTAATTAAGGATAATAACAAGAATTGTTACCAGGAATAAGAAGAATCAAAGCACTTGATGCAATACACAAGAAAATCTCAGATGAACAGTGAAAATTAGGGTTCAGGAGTTCAGAGTGTAAAAAGTGTAAAATGAGGCCTAAGGTTCCTACTTATAGAGAACTGTGGGACCCCATACTCACCCACCAGCGCGGCCGCGTAAAAATGACCGCGGACCGCGCTGGGTTTAATTTTGAAACCTTTGCAGGAAGTAGCCCATGCGGACCGCACAAATTGGGACGCGGCCGCGCAAGACCAACGCGGGCCGCAGAAATATGACCGCGGCCGCGTTAGCAAACTTCAGAGAACCTGCATCTTCAGCTTATGTCGGTGCAGACCGCACAAATCCCACCGCGGCCGCACTGGCAACTTCAGCAACTGTGCATTTTTTATACTTTGTTTTGCACTGCTTCAATACAATCCCTGCAACATCTCACAAACAATTAGCTCAAAAATCCTAATCTACAAAGAAAATCAAAGAGAAAGAAAAAGACATGGGTTGCCTCCCAAGAAGCGCCTGATTTAACGTCGCGGCACGACGCATGTTACCATCATATCACTTCAAATGAATAAGTGCCACCACGTGGCTATCATCAATCTTTCCCAAATAGTGCTTGACACGATGTCCATTGACCCGGAATATTTCACCATTCTTGTTCTTGAGATCAAGAGCACCAAAAGGAGTCACACATACCACTTCAAAAGGGCCACTCCACTTAGACTTGAGCTTCCCGGAAATAACCTCAACCGGGAGTTGAAAAGAAGAACCATATCACCAACCTTGAATTCCTTTCCCCGAGCATATTTGTCGTGAAGGTACTTCATCTTGTCCTTATACAAGGACGAGCTGGAGTAGGCATGAAATCTAAACTCATCAAGCTCATTTAATTGCTCAACCCGGAGATTTGCGGCAACATCCCATTCCAAGTTCAACTTTCTCAATGCCCACATAGCCTTGTGCTCCAATTCCACCGGAAGATGGCAAGCTTTACCAAACATCAACCGATACGGAGACATACCGATTGGGGTCTTGTAAGCCGTCCGATAGGCCCAAAGAGCATCATCCAATTTCTTGACCAATCGGTCCTATTAGCATTTACCGTCTTGGACAAGATACTCTTTATTTCTCGGTTGGACACTTCCACTTGACCACTGGCTTGAGGATGATAGGGGGTGTTCACTTTGTGATTTTCTCCATATTTAGCAAGCAATGAATCAAAAGCTTTGTTGCAAAAGTGAGACCCCCCATCACTAATGATAGCACGAGGGGTACCAAACCTTGTGAAGATACTCTTTTTCAAGAATGCTACTACACTTCGGGCTTCATTGTTGGGTAAAGCCACGGCTTCCACCCACTTTGAGACATAATCCACTGCCACGAGAATATAAGTGTTACCACAAGAGCTCACGAATGGACCCATGAAATCGATGCCCCAAACATCAAAAATATCCACCTCGAGAATCGTGTTGAGAGGCATCTCATCCCTTTTTGAAATTTTGCGGCCCTTTGGCATGCATCACATCTCTTCACCAAATCACTAGCATCTTTAAATAACGTTGGCCAATAGAAACCGCAACTCAAAACCTTTAAAGCCGTCCTCACCCCTCTGTGATGGCCACCATAGGGGGAGGAGTGACAAGCCTCCAATATGCTCAACTGTTCACCTTTCGGGACACATCTTCTTATTACTCCATCCGTGCAAATTTTGAACAAGTACGGATCATCCCAATAAAAATCCAAACTATCCCGTTTGAGTTTCTTCTTTTGGTTGGAAGAGAGCTCAGACGGGGCAGTTCCGGTCACAATGAAGTTGGCGATGTCCGCAAATCATGGCATGTCACATATTGACACAGAAAGAAGTTGCTCGTCGGGGAATGCATCATTTATCACGAGACCGTCACATGGCCTCCCTTCTTCCTCTAGCCGGGACAAATGGTCCGCAACTTGGTTCTCACTTCCCCTCCGATCCAGTATCTCTAAGTCAAATTCTTGAAGAAGCAACACCCATCTCATCAATCTTGCTTTGGAATCCTTTTTGGTCATTAGATATCGAAGGGCTGCATGGTCCGTGTGCACAATCACCTTGGCCCCCATAAGATAGGGCCAAAATTTCTCCATGGCAAATACAATGGCTAATAGCTCCTTCTCCGTCACCGTGTAGTTCCGTTGAGCCTCATTCATAGTCTTACTTGCATAATACACGGGATGGAACATTTTGTTAACCCGTTGACCCAACACCGCCCCCAATGCAACATCACTAGCAACACACATCAATTCAAAGAGCAAACTCCAATTAGGCGCGGTTATGATAGGGGTAGTGGTCAACTTGTGTTTTAAGAGCTCAAAAGCCTCCATGCATTTTTCATCAAAAATGAACTTGGCATCCTTCTCTAGTAGCTTGCACAATGGATTCACAACCCTCGAGAAGTCTTTGATAAACCTCCGGTAGAACCCGGCGTGACCAAGAAAACTCCTCACCCCTTTGAAAGAAGTAGGGGGAGGGAGTCGAGAAATCACCTCGATTTTTGCCTTATCAACCTCAATCCCATTTTTTGAAATCTTGTGGCCCAGCACTACACCTTCTTCCACCATAAAACTGGCATTTCTCCCAATTCGA